CATTATAAATCTGATAAGTATGATTTCTTGAGAAACCTATCACACACGCGCGCGCGCACGTGCACACACACACACACACCTAGCGAGGATATCGTAACTTTGCTGCTAGAGCTAATAACAAAAAAAACAAGAAGAGAAGTAGCTGCCCCGCGCTGCCAAGAGAAAATGATGAAGAGGGTAAAGCTACGAGTTCTCGGCCCCTGTCGAGATGCAGCCGAGTTTACCCGGCTGCCGCTGTCACGAGTCTCGAAGATTGATCGATGGAGGATTTCGAGCGCACGGCAAAACTCGCCCATTTTCTCTTTCTCTCTCGCTCCCTTAACTAACAACCATACTTTTCTTCTCCCTGCGTGTAACAAGTTGTAAGAAAAGCCTGGCGGGTTAATTCGCTTTCGCGCGGGTTAGTCGATCTAATTGATTCCCGTAACTTTATATCGGCGACCGACGTCGATCAGACGGCTCGTTCTGTTGGTGGTTCTTCTTCTGACGAGGCTTCGCCGATTCTCAACAGCTTCAGTTCGATTGCACCTTAAACTCCAGATAGAGCGTTCTTAAATGCTGAGAATACCTTTTCCCGAATCCGAAAAAAGAAATACCCCCCGCATCGATCGCAATTTCGTTCGCGGAACGTTGAGAAAGTTGAAGCATGCTCGGGTCGATTGTCGGCAGACCACGACGAGTCAGTGGCGAATTGGTATTCCAGCGAAAAGCACGTTCAAGCCATTTCCTAAAGCAAGGTCGAAAGCTTTCGCCATCGGCGCACAAGGCGACGAGGGAAAAATTACGAATAAACGAGTCGTGGAGCAGCCGCGAGCTGCACACCAGAATGAGAGAGAGAGAGAGAGAGAGCTCTGCCCACGCTGATAATTACCGATCGATTCGTCGACGCGACGCTTTGAAAAATGTGCCAGCTCGTGCAATGCGCGCCGGCCGGCGCACCGCGCAAATGAAAGCGGAAAAGAATAGCGACGCGACTGGTGTTTAGTGCGAAAGAAGCGCGCGCGTGTGCGTGCACGTCTGCCGTGTGAAAGGGAGGCGCCGAGGAAACAAAGAAAGGGGGATCGACGATCGCTGAGAGAGGCTTCAGCGATGTTTTGTGGCAAAATGTAGGACGTGTAGTATTGTCGTCCAAAATGTATTGTTGTATTGAATTAAATCAATCGAATCCTGCCGAGCAATCTTTATTCGCTGAACAAATTTACATCGACGTTTCAAGAGCTTTTGTTGCTTTCCTGTTCACGATATCTAGAGCAACGAAAACAAATTATAATCACTATATAGACATTACACACTGTTATATATCACCATTCGTTAAACAATCGCACATAATTCCTTGTTGTAGATCGCATGCTACTCGTCGTTATATTGCTGGTAATACAATGAGTCGACAAATCGATCGGAAAAGATTCGAACAAGATCATATTTGGAGTAAAATGTAAAATCAATGCAATAAAAGTACACTGATAATTCCACTTTCCCCTGGGAGATACCCAACGAGAGCCAGAAAGGACAAACAATGTTGCATTGATTTAATTCAATGCAACAATAGACTTTGTGACATTGTTGCAAGCATTCCGAAAGAAAAAGTAACGAAATTATTGTTGTCAAAGTCTCGCGAGGATACGCTTTACAAACGGAAACGAAGCGCGTTCTTTTTGTGTTGGGTTCGTATAAAATTTACGTTTCGCCGGGATCTCTCGTTATTACGAGAGATGACGAATATTAGATTAATAAAACACTCCCATTGTAGACAGCAAAAATTTTTATTTGTTTCTTTCGCGCGCAAGTCAATATAGAATCCAAGCCCGGGCCAAACGTCCTCCCTCGAGGGTGATACCAAGCGAGCATACAGAGGGATAGCGTAAGTGATACGCATATCGAGTGATTGAGTAATCGAGCATCTGTTACCCGCGCGATGGTGGACACTTTCAACCGCTTTCAATATAATACGACGTTAGTTTGGCGGAAATATGAATTTGTTTCGTTTTATTCATTTAATATATATTATTCAAACATTCTTAGCGGTAATTTGATTTTGAGCGATGAAAATACTGGTATTAAATTCCAGTTTGAACTTTGCATCGCAATGCCGAATGTTCTTGATTAAGCTTCGCTGCAAACAAATATTTGCTATATCAAGTCTTTTCTGAGTTTAATAATACAATCGTAACGGCATTCTGTCGTAGTATCCAATGTATCCCCAAAACTTTACTCCCGAAATTCAATCATTCGTAGGAATACGCAGCCTGGCATTCAGAGCCAAACAAGCATGCAAGCTCGACCACGCTGAATAATTCCCTGGCCGCAACGTGAAAACTCTCGTGAACGCGACGACGCATCAAGGATTTATTTATCGTATACGACGTTAGCTGTTGGACAGCGAGCATTACTAAATTGCAAAACCATATTCATTATCTATCCATGCAACGAATTATTAATTTCTTGGAAAGAGCATACACACACACATTCCATTCGTTGATTGGTTGAGGTGAAAAACGACGTGTCGACGCTCGTGCCATACGCCACATTTTTCTATTTATTTCTTCCTTCGAGGGTATAAATCACGAAGATATGTTGTTTGAATTTAAAGTAATTGGCGCCGCCTATTTTCTGTGTCACTTATAACGAGGCTTGACAATTTTCCACGTGGCCGTTGTTATAAAGTTTGCGCGCGCGTTGGGGCGAAAACAATATTTCATTTTTTTTTCTTTTTTTTTGTTCGACCGCCGATTTGTGAATCGTTACTACTGAAAAGTTGTTTGTTGGAAAATCCCTTTTTGTTGCTCAAAAATTTTTGGTGTATACGATTTCAATCACTATTCCATTTCCATAAAATGATTGATCTCTCTCATTTCGTTCGATTATTTATTTAGTTACTTTTTAACTTTAAAATGGTTCGTTTTGCAGCAGATATGTTATAAAATTGTATGAAATAAAAAAATGTTATTATATTTCAATTGAATGGAGAAATAATTCGATGAGGGGCTTGCAGTAACGGTATAATTTTTGATCTTTTAATGACAAACCGTTATTTTATAATTTTTTAAAAATCATTTCAATCGATTAATTTAGTCAGGTTTATGATATTTGATTTGATTAATTAAAATAGAATCTTTAGTCAATTCACATTGCACGCGCCACTCTCACAGGAATCATAAAAAGTAGAATAGATTGACTTGGTTTCACTTCAATCATGAAAATTATAACCTGGCCTTGATTACAACTCCAATATCTTCTTTTTTATTAAATCAACGTTTGGTGCATCCGTTACTTCATTACTCGCATAGCCCAAATTTATAATTATTAATCTGTATCCAACTGCGCATCTTGTGAAAATAAGAAAACGAAGAGAAATCCGCAACAGAATCGCAATATCAGCGCAGTAAACAGTTAAAAACGACAAAAGTCAAGACCCCATATCCATCGGCCTTATCATCTCATTACATCGAAACCCCAAGCAATTTCCGTAGCGAGTGCCGCGTTTTGCACGCGCAAACGATATTCGTCCTAATTCGTGACGTTCGTGCCTTGCCATGTCAAAACTCCGGGGGAGTTTTGGCGTTGTTCTCGCGTTACACGCAGATGCAAATATAGTATAGTATATGAAAAGTTTCCAAGGGGAAAAGGAAGACACGTTATAATGGCGACGACAAGGACGAGCTGAAAGTCTCCGTGTTATTAACTTCTCGAAGGAGGTAAGTTTTATTAAAATATGGAATTGGACTTTCGTGATCGCGTGCACGATGTATTATACTCTTTCCGTCTCGCCACAGAGTTATGTGCATTTTTCTTTCAGTCTCTCTCTCTCCCTCTCTCTCTCTCTCTTTACATTTCTGTTACTTGCTTAATATGCTATTGAGTTGGGATTCATGGACGGTATCATTTGCATTATTTGATTTTCCTAAATTTGAAAATCGTATCAAATTAAACATATACGTTCACATTGAGGGATTAATCCAACACGCGTAGAAAGAAGGAAACATCGCAAAACGCTTATTACAGTTTGCCACGCAAAAGAAGGAAAAGGAAAGTTTGATAAATCGATATTTAAAGTGTTAATTCTCGATTCGGTAATTGAGACTTGTATTTTATTTAATTACTCTCAGAATGAAACAGAAAAAAATAATCGAGTGTTCATAACAGTTTATCTTCCCAGCGATTCGTTGAGGTAAATTTCAATAAAAAACGCAAAATTAAAATCGACCAGGCCTCGCGAGCTACCATTACATGGTTGAAAATAGTCTTCTCGTACTATTACGAATAACCATATATTGATTGTTTAAGACTCGACAATTATTGATGACTTTAAGTTCGTTGAAGTGCTCATAAATTTCAGTGATATATAATTTTAACTAAATTAATAGTTATCCTTTAAAAATCATGAAAAATCTATCATTAATGCCTTCATATGTATGTCTCATCATATATATAGAAAATTAATCTCTCTGGTTTCGTTACAGATAATCATAATAACTCTTCAAAAATTATTCGATAATTTAGTCCAAATATCCAATTTCATCATGCTGATTATTTTTAAATAATTTTTAAAAACTTTGCTCTTTATCGCATCATTAATCCATCAGTATAGCTATAAATAATTAAAACTCAATGTCTATAATAACAAGTGAATTATACATACTCGACGTGACGTATATATTGGTGTGCTATGTAAATGCAGAAGAACCTTGATACTCAACAAATTATAAACAGTCGTACCCTCGTCAAAATTCTCCTTAAAATAAACTACCAACGTAAGCGAAATTCAAGTCCGCTTACGACACACGAAAAAAACCCTTATAAAACACTCTAAAGCGAGTAATAATTTCTAATTCAATCACATCCTCCCCTACAACGAAAAAAATCTGAATACGCGCATGAATCGCCAATCCCGTCCAACAAAAAAAGCAGAGCAAAGTCACATTTACCACCTGTGCCGCGTGTACTGTATATCAATACGCGCGAGTTTGTGTACGTGTGTGTGTGCCCGAGTTTGACTTGGGCTAGTAAAGCTTGGGGCGGCATATCGAGGTCGTGGTCTTTCCGTTAGGCGCAGCTCTGTTGGCTCTCTTCGCGCATACCTGCCGTGCGCGTGTCTAAAACACCACGCCACCAGCCCCAAGCTCTCTCTCTCTCTCTCTTTTTTTTTCTCATCGCGCTCTCGCTCGGCGCCAGCTTAGTGGCTTTTTCACCGCCATCGCGAAGGTGGCGGCAACTGTACAACACGCGACGACGATGATTTTGTGCTTGTTGCTTTTCACGAAGATGAAGCGCTAGTTTGTCGACGATCGCCATGCCTTTCCCCGAATACGGGGACCAAGTGGCGTAAGTATTTACATTCACCGCCTTACTCTTTCGCTTCGTAACTTGCGCTGTATTATGCAAATCGGTGGGACTGTCTTTCGCGTGTTGTTCTTTCGAGTTTTGTGCAAGCTCCGTAAATCGACGTGTTGTCGCTTAAATTCGAACTTTGGCCGGCAACTCGAAATATTGGTACGTCAAGTGAGTATCAAGCGCGAGATATATATAATAATCGTCACTTGTTGGAAATAATTTTTGCGCTGTGAACGTACAATATTTTGCTCTAATTGCGATATATTGACGTCAACCTTGATATCCTTTGTTTATCGCGTTTCATTAGTATAATGAAAAACATGTCGTGTCATTATTAAACAAGAATACTTTGGAATCACATAAGTAATTATGTCCAGCAATACACACGCATACACACACACACACACACACACACACGTTGCCTCATTATCGATGTGTATACATGTTATAGAGAAAACAGAAAGTGGATAAAGTCTAAAGTGAAAAAATATCACATAGCATGAATGTGTCCGAAGGAGATAGAATCAGATGACATGGAATGGATACGCGGGTAATCCATGCGAGTGCTGTTTTTTTATTTTTCCATTTACTTTTTCTTTTCCGACGTTGAATTTATCGAGCTGGCATAGTTGAATCGTCATTGGTAGAAAGAATTTTTCAATTTGGGTAGCTAAACGAAAGGCTAGAAACACCCTAATGTTTCATGAAAAATACACCGAAGACCGTTTGTTTTGACGTACCAGGGGTAGAAAATCGTTAAAAATTAAAGACTCGCGCCACACACGCGCTGCACTGTAAAATATTGCTCTTTAACAAATGGATAAATCGATCATTTCCGTTCTAATTTGAGGCTTATTTACACTAGCTCGGCTCGACGAAGCGCAAATTGCCGCGCAATAATTTACAAACGTCGATCTAACAACACCGAGAAAAAAATAGCAAGTACACCTACGTCTCTAAACAAAAGCTATAAGGTTGCTGAATGAGAACGACTTTCATTCGCTGCGATTATCCGCGTCGCAAACACGGCATAATGCCACTTTTCATCTATAAATAAGAGGCGCGCAGATGTGGCGCGCACAACAAGCTTATAACGCTCAGAGGAGAATATAATGCAACCGGTACGGGCGCGCGGAGGACAAGTTCGACTTGCGCACAGACGCATTGATGCTCCGCGACCTTCGCTCGTTAACAATCGGCGCGTAGCGGCGCAACCGAAGACGCGACCGAGACTAAGACGGAAGGAGCTAATCGATCCGATGGATTAACCATTCGGTTGGCGCCGCACGCTTTCAGGGTGTGGACTTTCTTTTTTTTCCTCCTCGCCGTCCGCTCGAGCGTTTCTTTCTTTGCTGTCGGTAGTTTTGTGTGGATTCGAAGGGAAGTGTGGAACGGCACGAAGTTGTCGTAGGATGGATGATTCGTACTCGTGGACTGTTTCACCTGGATTTCTTCAAATGTTTTTTCAGGCTAGAATGCGAAGTCATTTTTTTTAAAGTGAAACCCTTTCGGGGTCAGTCAAATCGATCAAGTTTGAATAGAAAGCATGCCAATCAATCGTTAACAAGTGGTATTAACGGAGCATACACTATAGCTCTTCGGTATTGCGATAAGTTACAGAAGAAAACATCGATTCGAGAGTCGGACGAGTCGGTTCATCATATTTACCGTAATAAGAAAAGCCTAAAGATCGATTACCGTCGAAGAAACTGCGCACCAACGCGTTTTCCCGGCAGAACAATCAGATAACACGCAACGATATCACAATCGCGTTCCTGCTTTCAAGTATTAATAATCCAATATATATCGCTCTCAATTTGCGTATAACCCGTGCGGCAATTCCAGACTGTAGGCTTTTCCAGAAAAGCTTTATACCCTGTATTAATTGATTATCAGTTCTGCTTCCCTCTCTCTCTCTCTCTCGTGAATAATGAAGGGCACTGTTTAAAAAAGATAAAACACAATTGATTCACGGCTTGCGGGAATGAATTGACAAAATTTCACTAGACAAACATTGTAAGCTCGCGGTTTCCCTTACTTTTCGGTTGAAGCTAGCCGCTACCATCGCACAGTTGGCTTTCTCCCGCTCGCGAGTCGTTCGATTTCTCCCTTATCATACCAAAATTGCCAAGGGCACGCACATATACCACGCGCGCGTGACTTGGATTCATTAGCTTTCAACTCGGCCTCTCATTTCTCCACCATTAATGTCACACGAGCGTGTAAATTTCGTTGTTTCCTTTTGCGCAGATCGTCGTCACTGATGCTGCTACTTCCGACGAACAGAGCGACGACGTGAAGAGTCTCACTAGGCAAGCTGTGCGAACCAACAGGCTCGAACGTCGAAGCTCCTATGCAGCCGCTGACTGGTCGAAATGTCTTTCTTCGGCTGGGGCAAAACTGGCAGTGTTTCCGATAGCAATGACGACCACTCCGGACGCAATCTCCAGGACGGGCTTTTTCAAATCGCTTCGCAAGCTTGTCATATACTTGTACAGGTTAGCCTTTTTGTTCTCGTTGATAGGATATCGTTTATTAACGATGAAAGGTTATGTAACTATACCCACACTGTTCACATTAGTTCGAAGCAAGCAAAAGTACCTTCTAGCTTTATATACAACAGTTTAGTTAGAGTTATGATTAGCTTTATACACACCAGTTTAGTCAAAGTTATGATGAATTGTTTCAAACTCGTAAATTTAGAGGCATTATTGTTTACTTTTATATTCGTATTGGCTGTTCGTACAATCGTGTCGAGAAACTTATTTTTCCAATGAAAGCTCATCTTATAAGCTTATTGCTTCTAAAGTTTTGAAAGTTTAACAATAGACTTGCGTTTACAGCTAGATTATTGACCAAGTTTATATATTCATCCTAGAAAACAACGAAGCAGCAGTTGAACAAATAAAAGAAAATCGAAGCATAAGAGTAATCTGAAACAAAATTCTTACATCTAAAATGTTCTATTTGTCTGTGTTTTTGCATACAGAAAATTCGTCAGGCGATGGCTTAGTGAGCTTCGAAGTTGAGAATTCATTGGAGTAAACGAAGTATAAAGTTGTAGACACAACTTTATAAATAATACAATATTAAAAAAAATTAAAAAAAACAATAAACATGTTATCGCCATATTCTTTCGTCGAAGTAGATTAACATCGCGGTTCTTATACGTTAGAAACATTTAACACTAAAGCGCAATTCCGATGTTGTATTAAGAAATAGGAAGAACAGACCGCGTCTGATCAGCACTCAAGCTAAAATAACGAAGGTGATGCGAAAACAAATTTAGCTGGAGTACTAAAAACACTGAAGCAACGAAAACAATGTAAAACTAACGCACACAAACACGCGACGCGCAGGTGAACAACACCCACAACGTATCTTACGGTGGCAGCAACCGTGTGACGAATGTCGCCTACTCGAAGGCCGGTGGCGGCACTGCAAGCTTGTCCAGCAGCTCGTCCGCGACGACAGCCTCGAGCCTTTACTCTAAGAATGTGGACGCAAGGCTCAAGGATCAGGACGTGGTTGTCCTGCTACCGCAGCGCAAGTCTCGCACACCGAGGATCAGGCACAAACTTGCGGTGAGTTTGACAAACTTGCGGGGCGCGCTTGCGGCTTGAACGTCTTGCGCCGATACGACTGTAGGCCGCATAGTTCCGACAACAAGTTTTTTCTTCCGCGCGAGCGGATGCGAGCTTCGCTGGAAATACATCGGTCGCGGGCCGTCGTTCTTCGCTCGAAACGGGATTGCGCTGGGGGCGTCATTGACCGTCGCGGCGTTCGAAGCTCAATTTAAGTCCTCGGCGACGTTATTGTAACGCACGACTTGTGGCCAAGCAAGCGAAAGAGCATGCAAAACTACGCCTTTGTAAATGATTTACCACGAGGCTTATTAAAATTTCATCCAGGTTTATTGTTTTCTTGGGGAACTTTCGACTTCATTAATTCAGTAGTAAGCACAGTAATAATTAAGGTTCCGCGCGAGTTGCCTGAGACTGCGTTGAGCTTTGTTCATATACTTCAAAACAACATGGGGTTATTAAAACTTTGCTCATTCAAAATGGCACATCATACGGATAAATTCAAAAACTTTATATTCTATTTCTAATGAGCGTTTTAAAGCGAACGTTTAAATTGCTTAACATTTAGCGTTTACTTGAATAATATGACTGTCTTATTCAACGATCATTCACTCGTTCGATTTTTACGTGGCTACTCAAACTACAGGATCTTGCAACTTTTTAAATCCGATTTTCGGTATAAGTTTTTACGCTAAAATAATGTTGAAATAAGTGAACATTAAAAACTTTGTCGCTGAAATATTTAAACGGTACAACATTTCACTAAACATAAGTAATAAAATTTAAATCGTAAGTTATCGCGCAAACATCAGATACAAGTCATTTTCCGACAACGTTAGATATGCAGACATCCTTTCTCTAAGAAACTGTATGATCTCCCACTGTCATAAAAAGCAAACTCTGTCTCTCTAGCGACGATCTTAAAAAGACGCCACACTGCGTCAGCGAAAATTCGAAACCGATGGAATCTCCTTGCACACAACATGAGAATCCTGAGTCACGCGTGTCCCCCTTTTCCCATCGAGCAGTGTAGATGTGCAGTGGGCGTAAGTGTACAACGTTGACAAATGTCTCGGCAATGCGTCAACCTGCGGGATGGAGGGTGTCTTGATCGCCAACAATGCTAATGTCGCTGGCGTGCGACCGATCTATTTGCGATTTAAATTTTCGGGGGTCAGAGAGGAATTTGGACAATTGGTAATGCGCGGCATGACAGCAATTAGCGAACGAGGCAAAAACAACGGCGACAAATTGAAAGCACTCGAGACAATGAAAGCGTTGGAAAATTCATCGACGCGATTATTTTTTAGAAACAATAATGAAATTGTATCTGAGTAATGACACCATTGATATGTATGGCATAAATAACAGGCATTTAGCTAACGAAGATGCAACGTAAACTATGAAGTTTAAATCCTTTGCTCGTGCGAAAAACCTCATTCTTTCTCTTCTTCCCTCTTTATTTTACTCTTCGTCCAGCCCATGAATAATCCTCACAAATGTAATCGTCTTGTATAAAACGTCATCTATCCACTCTCTCAGACCGCCCACTTCAAGTAATTGATACACATAAGCGAAGAGCAAAAAGCAGCAAAACAGCTGCAATATTTAACGAGGTACAATGTTAGTCACGACACCTATGATAAATCACGGCATATCGTTTGAATAAAGCGAGCCACCATCAGAGAACGGAGGGACAAGGCCAATCGAAATCGCCGACTCTGCGTCCATGTGTGTGTGTGTGCTACCTCCCCTTCTCGTTCATTATATCGATCGTTAAGATCACCTCCTTGTCGCTTATATACACCTTTTATATATCCAACGTCGACTCACCTTAGTACGCGGCAGACAATGGCCGGCTGCCACCACCACCGCAAGTGTGTGTTTACGATCGCAAGCGTGACGTGAGCTTTCAGTGCTGCAGTTTGAGTGTTTCATTGGCGATATGCAACGCTGCTCGTCTACGCTCTTTGCTCGTCGCGCGATGTGCGCGATCATTCGCACATTTGGATTTCCAGGCTGACTAATGTTTGGATGTGATTCCGTCGCGTGCGCTTTCCGATTAGTTTCGAACGACTACCATTCAATAGAATCCTTTGCTTATCACTACGCTGGGTTTTTCATGTACAGTAATTAGCGAGTTAGTCGCGGCTGTGCTCTTTTCCTATTTGATTGGAATATACTTGATTTTAATTTTACATTCTTCTAAAAAATGTATATTATCGATTTAACTCATTATCCAAACTACAACTGTCAAAGTACAAGTGTTGAATTAATCGCAAAGCACTCTTTCCGATGAGTAGTGAATACTGTTCGTGCTTGCGGATATTCCTCAAAAAAGTGAGTACTGCACATGTACACTGTAGCGAATGCGTGATTGCACAAAAAGGGTTAGGCGCTAAAAAGCATATCCAAAAGCAATCTTCTCGCGAAAAAAATCGACATACTTCTCTGACAAAAGAATGAAGGTACTTTCGCAGCGAAGATGTCTTTCATCTTTTAGACGCATTTATGCAAAACGCTACGTCGCGTCGCGTGCGCCAAGGTCGTCGCGTGCTAATACCGCAGTGAAACAAAAACAAAAAATGTATGTATGTGTGTGTGTGTGTGTTTGGATCGATTGATAGAATCATTTGCGAGTATGTCCATCGAAACGAAGAAAGCAATTTCTTGAAACGTACAACTAAGCGATTATACTTGGATCATCGACAGGTTTCGCGGCGACTTTTCACGGAGACAGCCATCAGCAAAAAGAAAATAATCGTTAAGCGTATGTCGGATATAATAACATTCGGTGGTTTATGTTTAGCGTGCGTATATTTTGCAATTGCTTCCTCGTTCGTCGCGACGGCGAAATCGATTGATTTCTCTTCCGCGTGGGATGTCGGGGAGAATGAAAAAAGAAAGAAGCTCATTCGCGTTCTAAAGTGAATGTACACACGCGCGCGCGCTTGTCGCTCACTTACTCAAATACTCCCTTTGTACACGTGAGATTTTGTTTGATAAGCTCGCGCGCGGGTGACAAAGAAAATAAGAAAACGATGAAAACGATTTCGCTCAGGATTATATTCTGCGATGGAAATGAGGTTTCTTCTCGCTGTAAACATTTTTCAACGGGAAGTAGTACATTACAAAATGGAATAACTTAGTTTGGGATTATTATTGCGATTAGATTTGAATGATGTTCACATTGAATTCATAATAAATAATTTATCTTCCAAGTGATTTCCTAAATAATTAATTTACGTAAACTTCACATTTCGTCGATTGAAATGATAAATAATTTATGTACGGGCTAAACGAATGCTATTTTATTAATCTCTAATTTAGTCAGTCTGATTTAGAGCTCAAATAATATAGTTCAGGCTCTTCTATTTTGCTCATTCGAGTTATTATAAAATCATGAACACAAAACAAGTAACGTTTTCGAACTGCAATAATTCATCGTAATAAAGAAAACAATAAACGCATATTAAATTTAGCCTTTGTCGCCGGCACTATATAGTTCACGCATACATTAACTATACGGCGAAATCAATAAACACGCCTATGGTCTGCGTACGAACGTGTCAATGTTCAACTTTGCGAACGTATCTTTTTCCTACCGGGGTTGATGTTTACGCGGCGTTAAGTGGACTGTGGTATTGGGGCCCTCTAAATGTTTAATGAAGTTGATTGTTGCCATTGTCGTATGTCGCTCAGGTGAGCGTAAGATCGTGCTGATAGGTGACAGCTGAAAAATAGAAGCCAAAATCATGCATTGTTTTTTTTCTCTCTTTTGCTGTTTTATCTTTATTTGGGAAGCTGATATTTGCTCCGTGCGCACTTAACAGGCGGCGCCACTTTTTTGAAACTTTTGAACTTTTGGTTCGAGCTTTCCATGTAAATCTTAGAAAGAATCGCCCGTAACGTCGCTTTTTTGGAATTTTGTGATCGCAATTCTGTTTTAAAAATCCATCTAAGTAAAACAAATCAAAAAGGTGTACACTGAGCTAATAGGGAGATTTTAGTTGTTATTGATAATAACATTGATTAATATTGATAATCGAATAATGCGTAATCGAATTGTTTGCGCTTGGTCGGCATTCACAAGAGTGAAATCGGTTAATTAGTACTTTATGTTTACAGTTAATGAATTTATTGGGTCGAGCGGTAATTTGGTGCGATTGGGCAATAATCATCTAATCGGTAAATTGTCTAATAATTCTGCCTCTCAAATGACATCCTAATTTTAGCAACAATTGAAAACCATCTGTCTCTTCTACTAATTTACCGGCAACCCGCTTAAATCTCAAAATTTATTATCCAAAGAGGACACCCACCGAGAAGGAACAAAAAGAAACCTTCCACCCACGATGAATAGAACGAGCGCCCATGTTTTTACGACAATACTTCGTCATACAGGCGTGCGTGATTTTTTCGACAATCTATGCGTGGCGTACCATCGACACCGGATCTATATCACAGATGTCAACCGCAGAGATGACTGCGGCTAAAAAATAGACAAAAACAGCACTTTATCAAAGTCAAAAAATCCCTTGTCTTCATTAGCGGCAGCGGCAGTAGCTCAAACAAAAGGGAAAACTCAGGGGTGAGATTGCCGAAACCAGTTAGTGACCGTCGCGCTCGTGATACGTTCGTTGCGGCTTCGCGTTGTTTTGACGTGTTAAAGTGTATTTCGAGGATTACGTCGGCACCACTGCGAACTATATTTATCGGTGAATAAACCACCGCGGAATTACGCTTGCTCGTGAAAGCTCCGATTGTTTGCAGCTGATGCGCCGAGCACCGGAGAGTCATGACTTCGACATTAGTTTCGTCGCTGATTCACGCGGCCGCGAATTTCCGAGAGATCGCAATATTCGTAAATTAAAACGCGTAACGCGGGAAGGCATAGAGAAGCGCAGCAGGCGCACATCAGAGTTCGCCGCGTGGCGCCGATGCTCGCAGACGCGAAATTACTATATGGCATTACGCGTTCGTTAAAGCTCGAGCGCGAG